TTTTCAAGAACAAAATCAAATAATTTCGAAAATTCTTCAAAACTTTTTATTTCACGAATTTGAAGGTCATCGCGTTCAATTTTTGTTATACCGAATTCTTCTGAGAGAGTTTTCTCGTCGCGAAAATTTTTTTGTTTTTTACCACCACGTCTACCTTTTGAAGAATTCATTTTAATACATTTTTTTTTTGAAAGCTACTGATTTTCCGGAATAGGTAAACTAAGTTCACTCATAAACGATTTGCCTACAATACCGATAGCTTTTGAATTTAGTCCTGTGTCAACAATACAGAATTTAATTTCTTTCCATAGTATTGGAATTTTTACCGATCCTAATATACTTAATATTTCATTTTCCGTAAACTTTGTATAATTAATCTGAACGAATGATGCTAAATTTTTCCTTTCTATTAAATTGAAATTAACAGTAGGATCGTAAACAAAATCTCCAGAATTTTCCCTTAAACAATCTGAATTTATTGTTACTATGGTCGTATGGTTTAGATGACTAAAAGTTAGATTTGACCATTCTTCTATCATAAAGATTTATTTATTTTTATCAAAGTTCATTTTTAAGAAATAGTAGAATAGAAATAGTTGAAACAAGCGTGCAAACAATAAGCACTGCTAGTTTCTAAAATAGTAAAGAGGTCAGGCGTGCAAACAATAAGCACTGCCCTGAAATATTAGAATAGAAATAGTTGAAACAAGCGTGCAAACAATAAGCACTGCTAGTTTCTAAAATAGTATAGAAGTCAGGCGTGCAAACAATAAGCACTGCCCTGAAATATTAGAGTAGAGATAGTTGAAACAAGCGTGCAAACAATAAGCACTGCTAGTTTCTAAAATAGTATAGAAGTCAGGCGTGCAAACAATAAGCACTGCCCTGAAATATTAGAGTAGAGATAGTTGAAACAAGCGTGCAAACAATAAGCACTGCTAGTTTCTAAAATAGTAAAGAGGTCAGGCGTGCAAACAATAAGCACTGCCTTGAAAATAGTTTAAATAAGGTAGAAAGAGTAGGCAGAGTTTTTAAAGAGAAAGCATTTATCTTTAATTAGAAATTTAAAAAAAAATAAAAAAAAAAAATTTTTTTTTTTTTTTTTTTTTTTTTTTTAATTTAATCCAAATTATTGAAAATAAAAATTCCACTGATTTTATTTTTAATTGAATCCCACCGCTGCCACCATCAACTTGTTACGAACGAGAAAAATTAATTATTTAATTTTTATAATTTTAAACAATTACTTAAAATTTTCTATTCGCCGGAGGAACCAAGTTGCCATTAAAAGTCAAAATGAACATTTAACTTAATAATGTTTATTTTTATGTGGGTTCGATTAATTATATCGCCGATAGAAGACGAAACTGCCAATTTAATCTTTAGATCGTAAATAATGTTTCTTAGCTTTGAGATGAAAATCCACACTATTTTTGACAGCACAAATAAAAAGGTCTATTTGATTGAATAGAACAATTGGAATTTTAGTTTACAAAAATTTATTAAAAATCAAAGTAAAAATTGCAAAAATTACACATTATATGCTTTCTTTTGTAAAGAATAATGTTTTTGGAACGATACAGTTTTTTATTACTTACGGCTAGATTTCTCTTACACACTACCGTCGAGAGAGCTTGTTGAGAAGGGAGAATTCTCGCGATCTCGTCACACAATCAACGGGCAAAACGAAAGAAAGGTGTTATGCGTATTTCCGCGTCTCGAAACGCGGTACCGGTACCCTATCAGACACAAGCGGCGCAGGTACAATCCGTACGGACTGGCCGGTTTTAAGAACAAAAAATTATTTAATAAATTATAAATAATTTATTAAATAATTTCTCACTGTACTGATCAACCGATTGGGACTCAGCCGGTTCAAGGTTCGATTTAATTTTACGTCCGCCCAAAGAAAATAGAATTTAAATTGGAGCCAGCTCGCAGACGGGCCTTATTCTTAAAATTAAAAATTGGCTCAACGACAATCTATCGTGATTCAGCAATTTTAATTTTAGAAATTTAAGCACTGCTGTTAATTTACCTGGCTCAACGAAAATCTATCGTGATTCAGCAGGTATATTATTGAGCTTTCTCCACAGTTTAAACTCTAAGTTCACTTTTTAAAGAAATAATGCAAAAATCAGTAACACGTACTAAGTGATTGACTGAAGACGAATAGGCAATGAGGCCCTATGAGCTTCTGCTTATAAAGAGCATCGCGAGATGCACTTAGTGGGATTAGTGAATCAGGGGTAGAAGGATTCTGGGGGTTTCAGGGGTATCGATAAGAAAACTTAGATCATCGTCCATCGATATTCTCAGAACCCATGATTCTTGTTATTCTTTTCTTTGTTGACACTATTGGAACTGCACATCTCCATATGTGTAAGTGTATATATGTGTTTTTAATAAAGTATAACTCGCAACCTTTGTTGAATTCCAGAGCGGTCATAGTTCTGCACAGATTATCGTTTTCATATTAAAAATGAAACTATTTTCCTTTTTTATATATGCATATACATTTTACGCATACACACGTACATTTACCTTAGTACACATACATATATGCACGACATACATGTCTCAAAAATTTTCTTCTCTTTTTTTTTTTTATATGCATTTTGTTTTTTTTACAAAATTGACCCTCTTAAAATAAAATCTTAATTGTTGCGAGTTTATATGTGCTTGGAAAATGTGACATGTTCCAATTTAAGCTATCAACAATTATTCTATCTTTATTTCCCTTTTTTTTTTAATTTGAAGGTATTATAAGGAAAAGAATAGGGGAAGGAAGGCAGTGTTTGCATCGCGCGATACTCCTCAAGCGCCTCACACATATGCGTTACGCAGGCTATGGGGAGTCCGTGTCTGTGTGTACCGCATCCACGCTACGAGACTCATTGCACCTGAACGCGTGAGAAAGAGAGAGAAAGATAGATAGAATTGACATATGCGATTCTTCTCCCTTCTTATAAAATAATACATTTTCGTAAATATAATAATTGCAATATAATAATCACATTATTGTTGGTTACTATAATATGCGTAGAAATGTGCAACCAAACAATGTATACACATATCTATGCATATCACTTTGGCATACTATGAACACACGTACACACGATAAAAATAATGCACACGCATACGTGCATATACAATGCATATTCTTTGAAATAATATTTGATAATGATGATTCTAATAAGTAGAAAAATAGTATTGGTAATATATCCAATTGTTTATAATAATAATTATGATTAATTATTAATATTAATTTTAGTAAATGTAATTAACAATGATAATAATACGATTTATCATTATTAATAAAAAAAATCATGAATTAACAATAATTTGCATATTGTTAATTAATTAATTACTGCAAATTACTAATAAAAATGAGTAAAGTATAATTGTTTTATTTATAATAATATTTTAGTATCTTTATATAAGGTAAGTACACTATATTATATTTTTCATGCATATATTTATAATATTCAAGCTTGAATATTGGTATTAGATAATTAATATAGTTTATAATATAGCATAATATAATATAGTATAAATCATAATATAGAATAATATAACATAAGATAGAATAAAATAATATATTATAATATAACAGTTTAACAAAGTTATATTATAATATCATAGTCATAGATACATTTTTAGAAGCAACGAGAATATAAGACTGTGTGTGTGGAGTATCACTCAACGCGCGCGATTATCGGGGATTCAAATTACATGCCTATATACATTGTGGCATCGACTTGGAGATTTTATTCTTAAATAATTTTCAATTATTCTTGAAATTATTTATTATCATTTTATTTATCTTTTATTTATAATTTCGTTACGATAGTTCGTAACAATTTGTCATATATTTTTTAAAACTTTTTATTTTATTTAAAAAAAAAGAAAAATTTTATTTTATCTCTCTGAAGTAAGTGCTACACGCATGACATATTAATATATGACGTAAAGGAGAACACATATTCCCCTCTGTAGGGAATTAAAACATCCCTTCTGAAACATTGAGATATGATTTAAGAATATTTTGAATTATTTCGAATATTTAGTTTCGTAATATAAGCTTTTTCCATCCAATTACTTTATTTTTAAACAATAATTTTAGTTTAAAGAAAAATAAAAATTATTTTATATGCTATATTAAATGTTCATATGTCATTAAATTCAAAGCATTTTAATTTTTATGTATACATATTATGATCTGTTAAAATTTTACATATGTGACATAAAAAAAAATACGAAGCTTTTTATTTTAAATGTAACATTTTTTTTATTTTTTAAAATCGTTTTTGTTTTTTTTTTTATGACAAAAATCTCCAAAATAAAAAACGGTGATCACGATTGATCACTATCAGGGAAAGGGTTGAAGAAAATAATTAATTTTTTTTACTATAAATCTAACTGATTTTATCATAGTTCTAAAAGGAAAATTCTTTAATATTAAATTCCTTATATTTAACACTTCTAGTAATTTGTAATTTTTACAATCAAGTTCACTTGATTGTAGGAATGGTTCGTTATATGTAGTTTCTGAAAAAGCAGAGTCTCTAATTAGTGAAACGTCTCTTATTCCTCTACCTTGTTCTAATTTTATGTAGAAAATAAAAGTTAACCCCAATACAAGTATTATTTGTGGTATTTAAAATTAAATATCAGATTTTTAGATTTCTGATTTTGAGTTATAAAATTATCAGAGCACTGGATAAAATTGTTTTTAAAATGTATATATTTGAAATGGAATTTTAAATAGAAAAAACCTATTTAAAATGCCATTTCAAATACATTTTAAAATACCATTTTACCAAGCTCTAAAATAATTCTTTATTTTGAAAACAAGAATAAGGCTATAAAAAAAGGGTTTCTTTTCTCTTATTCGTAGTTCTGTTATAGTTTCTTAAAAAAATCTTCATCAATATTTTTGTATTATCTGAAATAAAGTTATAGTTAATAAATAAGAAAATTAAGTTATTGTAACTTACTTGAAAGGGAATTGCAAACAATCCTATGACAATGTCAGCAAATGCTAGATTGGCAATGAAGCAGTTTGTGACACTTTGCATTCGCTTTGAAGTAGCAATGATCCACATAACAAGAGCATTGCCGACAACAGCTAAGACGGAAATGGTCCCGTAACATATACTAAGAAGTGCAATTATTCCAGCGGGAACATCGTAAAGGATATCTGGAAAAAAAATTAGCCAAAGTTTTATAATTTTTATTTTCGGAAAATTTCTTTTTTAAGGATAAAATGTAAAAATATTTAGACCACAAAAATTTGTATATTTTGTAGTAGATGTTATCATTGTTCCTTTGGTAAAAGAAAAAAAAAAAAAAAACTGGACAGTTTATTTGATGCGTATATTTAACCTACTGAGGTAGAAAGGTCAGACGGATGCGGGAGTTTTACACAACATAAAAACAAGATCCCTTCACGATCTCTTGAACGGAGACGATCCGATTTAGAAGGATTCGTTTTAGAAAAATACCCATCTATATCTTCTCGACCTCAAGAACTAGGTGATATGGTCGAGCTTATATGACCACACACATACACACCAAAGGCTTAAAGCTTAGCCCAGTGGAAACAGAATTTTCTGAAAAGAATACATTTCCACATGATCGTATATATACGCATTCCCCAAGAAGTATAATTGATTTTTCTTGTTCATTCTTCTTTTATATTCTATTTCACACGCAATATAATCCAATACATATAGAACATTTTTCACTTTATAATCCTTTTTCAATGGTCTTGAATGCAATATTTCAGTAGAATTTGAATTGAAAAATTGCGTCTATTTGTCTGTTATGTCGTTAGCAGTAGATAGAATTCCAAATAGAATTAAAATTAGATAATTTCAATAGTTTTTAAATAATTTTGATTTTTTTAAAAATTTACCTTGATCATCAATATAAGAATCATTATCGGTTAACCAGTGAGTAGTGTTATATACAGGTGGCCACCATATATCAGGACCTCCTTCTTCTGGTGACCACGAATCATTCATAATGAAACCAGAGATCTGTAACAAAATATTTGTCTTTATAATCATTTATAAATTAAATATTATTGAATTCTCCTTTTATTGAAAAAAAATGTCTAAATATAGAGATAAATATTTATTAGATATACACCACTTGACATGTATGATTTAAATGCAATCGGCTTAGTTTCTATTTTAACTGTATACAGGATTAAACGAATTTATGTTGAAGAACATTCCATTCGAATTGAATTTCGTGAGTCTCTTAGAACTATTGAATTATGTTATCTACGTGGTATCTGTAAACACTGTAGGAAATCTAAAATTTTCAATTTGTAAATCCCACACGATTTCATATATCTACTAATACATTTTTTTTCACTCAAATCTGAATTGTTATTTGCGCTATTTGAAATAAGGAGAATTTTGATTATAATTCAACTGAGGAGATTTTTTTTTATAAAAATTAAAAAAAAAGAGATTTCTCTAAGTAAATAATAATTAAATCAGACTTTTTTTTAGAAAAAAAAAAGTAAAACAGAAGTGTCAGACGTGAATATTGAGAGGCCTTCATCGAATTGCTTTATAAAGCTCGGAGATTATTGTCTACAACCTTGGGCATTCAGCGTGAACTTTTGCAATGAGGGTGAAATTGGAATCTTGAAGGAATTTCGCTTTCTCACGACTCTTTTAAACGCTTTCGATGCTGCTCAAGCACCCCCTAAGATTCAAGTTTGCCCTTCAATGATTAGAATGATACTACTGATCTTTTTTGAAAAAAGGTTTTTCTTTCATATCACCTTCATGCTTTGTTGTACTTTCTTGAGGCACTCGTCTCGATCGACGTCCACTTCTTTTTATATATTACAGATGAACGGAGATCATTTATATATGTGTATATATAGTGATACAGTTCAAAAATCATATATTTGATTTTTGTGTGAAAATAAGAAAATACCGTTTTTTTTGCATTATACCCTACTATTTGCCAGTTCCGCATCTTTTACAAGTGCAGTTATCCATGAAAAAATGTTTTCCCATCGCATTTTCCGCTATCTGAAGCACATATATGCGATATGAATTAGAGCTTTAAAAGTTTTTGAAATTTTTCTACCTTTTATAAATATATTTTTTTTTTTAAAATGCCACATTTTTGTTCAAATTTGGAAATAAAATTTTTTATTGCTTTCTATATTACATTAAAGATTTAACTTTATGTTAGTACAGTGCTAAAAGTATTTTAATTTTTCTTTTTGCAGATTCTATCCTCGATGGTTTGTGGTGTCACGTACTTTAAAGATAAGGGCGCAAGTAAAAAAGGGCATCTTGGAAGGACACAAATCTTCATATTCAGACTTTTTAGAACTCGGTCTATTTTTACGGTTATTTTTCACATTTTCCGAATGGAAATTTAACTTGAAAGTAGGGATCTCCGAGGGCTTTTTAGTTTGAATGAAAATCTTCTTGAAGCTGAAAATTCGTCATTAAGGTCAGTAAATCATCATCATCAGTAAAAGAAAGTGTAATATAATTGATCACGTACTTATTATACTTTGTATTATTTTATTTTCTATTTTATTGTCAACTCTATAAGTGACAATATTTGTAGAGTGTTGACTGTATTACAAAAAATTTAGTTGTATTTTTTGTCGTGACAATTGAGGTCTAAGGAGTCAGTCAGAAAAATTGGCGTTTATATCGACGGTCAAAATCCGAAAAACTAGGTCATATTTTCAAGATTTTTGTGTTATTCGATTACTTTAGGTTTAATCTCGATGCCACACTAATTGTTGTCAAATTTGTAAATTAAATTTTTTATAGATTTCTATATTACCGACCGGTTAAAGATCAAAATTCTCTGTCCTTGTAGTGAATACAAATCCCGCTTTAATTTTTTTTAATTTTGAATTTATACATTTAAATTAGAAAAATATAATAATAGAACTATTGAATAGAGTTAGTAGTAGAAATTGTTTCGTATTTAACTACATGAAAAAACACTTAAACTCTCAGCTAATGTGTAGCGCATGAATTTCTCATAAAAACCATTAGTTAAAATTTTCATTTTAAATATATATATTTTTTTTAAGACAAATTATCATTTTTCGAATTAGTATTTAACGGTATTTTTACCTAACAGATTTTTTAGATACCGAATTTTCGTTTTATGAAAATAATTTGTTAGGTTAAAATTCGTTTAAGAAATTCATAAATCCTAATTCGAAAATTGTAAATTCGATTTTTATTCTAAACAAATCCTTCCTTTGCCTTCAATAATGAACAATAAACGCTTTTAGTGCGCATTTCATATTAACTAATGTGGGCGGCATTATTGAATATGATAATCTCCTTTGAAACTTTACTTGTTAACATAAATGCAATATAGATATATAGATACATGTGAACTATAATACTCAAATTCTACGTATTTGCTTTGATATTCTAACCACGATCCCCTGAGAAATCCTTGATTCAAATAAAATTTTAAGGGACATTTGTGTTCCCCCTTTAAATTGTTTTTACGATACGATTTTTACTAGGCATTATCCATATATGTCCATAAAAAGGTTGATGTGAAAGTAATCAAATAATATATACATATTTTGGTGGAATTTTATTTTTTTTTTTGAATTCCTGAAACTTAAATATTTAGTGATTCAAAGTTTTTAGAATTAGTTTTGATTTATTATCTTCCATTTAATGAAGATATTTTTTTTTTAAATGAGTTACATTGAAATATGGATATAAGTGCAAGCTGCCGCTTGTTATTTTTCTCCTTTTTAAGGAGGAAAAAAACGCCGTGGAACATTTTTACATTCACGTTTCTAATTTATGAATCCTGCAAACTTATTATTACTCTTGTTAAACAAGAAATATGGTCACTTATTCAGATTCAAATAGATGAATTTTGTGATAGTCGTGTATATTCTAACAAATTGCAAGCTTACATTCGACAAAATGGAACGATTTTTTTATTTTAAAGAAATGAATGTGTTTTAAAATTACATATGAGAAAAATTACAAATACCTTCAATTACATTTCTGAATAAGATAAAATAATACACTTTATTAATAGAAGAAATAATTTAACTTTTTTTTTCAAAAAAGAAATAAGTCTATTAGTAAGTAAAATTAATTTTTATCTTTTACTTAGTTGATTGAGTAATTAAACAACATTCGTTTGGAACTAAATTGCCCGAGGATGATTTATTCGAATGATAGTCAAACTTTAGGGGTGGGGGTGGACGAATAACGGCAAAGAACATTTATTCGGCATAAATATATATATCTGTATTGAAATATAGACAGGCTTTTAAATTGACCTAATCGAGATAAGCGTTGTTTTCTAAAATCAATATGAAAATTGAGAATATAAACTGTATTTGAAATTATTTTTGCTAGGGGTCTTTTTTTATTTTAAATTATTTCTCTACTGGTTAATTGTTCAGTTATCGAATATGTATATAATAATCAAAAGCGGTTGCATGTCATCAGGGAAAACCCAGAGGATTGAAATTTTTATTAAAAAGAAACAATTTCCAAATAAATATTTATTTTATTTTACAATAAATAGAAAATATGTTATTCTAAATTTGTTTTCCTTAAATAGCATGTTTTCTAGTAAAAGAAAATTATTAATTTAAAAAAAAAAATGATTGTTTTTATTCATTTTACTTAGACCATATAGAAGTGATATCATTGTTTTCCTTAGCATTATAAGTAGTTACTATTATACAGCACAGTTAATAAGTAGCAAATTATCGCACAGGCAGAAACTAGAAAATATCTTATCTAAACCGTTAATTCAACCAAAGAATGATAGTAAATTAAACGTTGACTTAGCTCAAAGTTAAAGTTTATATACTTTAATTATTAATCTCAAATATTGCAAACAAAATTTTTTTTATGATTTATAAATAATTTATTATGTTTAAAAAAAATTTCTTTGATACTTTAATTTTTCGTTCAAATTTGTAAGTATAACCTTCAGAATTTTAATTCAAAAATAATTGCAATTACGTTTCTAATTATTCTGTAATATCAATTATTTTGTAATTGAAAAATTAATTTTCTCGTAAAAATCATTTATTTATGTTAAAATTGTCAATAAAAAAAAAATTGCTTATTAAATGCTTCGATAAACATTTTTCCAGTATAATTTTCTTCTGGATTTAATTATGTGAAATTTTCTATTTGAATAAAAAAAAAAAAAAAATAGAAGGGCAAACTAGGTCTAAGCGAATGGATGTTTTTGTATTACTTTTATTAAAATTTTATTACAAGATATTAACATAGTCATGTGAAATTAACAAATATTTGCATTACTTAGTGAATATAAATATTCAAAAAAGTTAAAAACAAAAAAATTTTCTCTTCACATTTATTTTAGTTTTTGAAACAATATTTTACTTTCTACCTAATAGCAATTTTGTCGGATTTCCAACTTCACATTTTTGGACATAACAGAACCTTCAGTTGTTTTTATTAAAGTACACAGATTCACTATATAGAACTAACTTCTACTCTCTCTCTGTAATGTTATTTTCCTTGTTGTTTCTCAATTTTCGAAAAAAATTTACAAAGAAAATTCTTTAAAATTGTTCACAGGGGCTTATTTTTCGTTTCAATTTAAAATTTATAAATTCAATTTAAAAAAAATATATTTCATATTAAAAAAAAATGTTAATTGTATGTTTATTCCAATAATTAAAAAAAAGGTTTTTAAAGTTTTTGAACAGTCTCTCTCGGAATGTAATTTTAAAATGACAATTCGTTTTCTTATTCATTCATAAATTTTGTTAAAGAGAATCGTTTCAGTTGAGAAAATTTACACCACTTTAAATTTTTAACAGTAGAAAAGTGTTGCTCTAAATATCACCTGACACCTACAATGGCATTTGATTTATTTCTGTGAAACATTAGCGAACGGCTGTCTATTTTCGTAGTTCACAATAAAACGAGAACTATATGACTACTGTCTGCAGAATGTAATTTACATTATGACCTTATGAAAGTGATAACAAATCTCCCATAGAGAATGTCTTCATAATATCGTTTTACTTATTTTATTTTTCTACTTTTAAAAACTACTATTTCACGACGTTAATAAAAAATGTCCCTCTTTCTTTTCACATTCAAAATAAATTTTCTCTCGTAAAAATAATAATTTTTCAATTTCAATTTATAATAATAATAATTTTTAAAAAATTCTAGAAATTTATGTAAATAAAAAAAACGTGATTAGCACTCCAAAGCATAAAAATTAATAAAATAATTCTAAATTGAAGGCACTGGAAAGAAATTTGTTTTAATTAAATTGTACATTGTTCTTTATATATTATTTTTTGTTCTGTAGAACATGGTTCTAATAATTAAACCCCCAACGTTATTTAAAAAATGAAAAAAATAAATAACACTTTTTTTTTTGTAAAAATTAGAATTGTAGATCACGAAAAAAAATCTGCGAAAACATTTGAATGCTCTGAATTCATATTTATTTAAAATCCTGATCGATATAAAGATGATGTGCTCAGCAATTGGAAATTCAATTGAAACTTAATTCAATTCTGCTTCTTAGAGTGGAAGAATTTAACTATAAAAATGTTAAAAAAAACTAATGATACGCACGAATAAATATTTTAAATATTATATTTATACAATAATAAACTGTTATAAATTTCCACACCTTGTGGAATTTTGATTGTATTCCTAATTTACATGTTTGCTTTTAACAAGTATAATTATCGAAAGTAATTATAAAAGTTGATTAATTTGCTAATGAAAGTTTATCACACTCTTTTATCCATTCAAGTCTAAAAAAAACTTTTTTCTATTTAAACTTTAATTATTACGAACCTATATTACAGTTTTTTTTTTTTGTAATAAACAACAATCCTGGGAAAAACTTCTAATCAATATTTGAGAAATTCGTTGCAAGGAAAAGAATATACTTCTTTTTTTTCAAATAGTAGAAGAAAGAAAAAGAATTATCTACTATTTGGAAAGTATCTTCATTTAAAGGATTTATATGAAATATTGATGAATTGGAACTTTTTCATATAAAACTGTTGATTTTAATGATTCAAAAATAATTATAAAAGTTTATATATAGAAAAAAATTAATAGTTTGGAATTGTATTTTTAGTTGTATCATTTATAAATGCTTGTAAGTCAATAAATTTTGTCGCAAGATTTAATTTTACTAGCTTCAATATATAGTGACGAATTTACTCAAGTGTTAGTTATACACAAAACCATGTGTGATGTGTACTCCAATTCTAAATCGTTAGAGTAACTCGAGTTGTTGGTATTGTTTCGGAAATTTGCATTTCGTGCCCTGCATTTCTTTGTCTTGTAGTTTCAGTTTAGAGAAAATACTGTTTAAAGGAAATTCTAATCTACTTTTACTTACGAAAAGGAGCTTCATTTCAATTATCACTTTTCATCTTGAATTTCGACTTAAGTTTTAAACAATGCTTTTAATGGTTTAAATTCAGTCCACTCTGAATGTTAATTAATATGAATCTCCGTATTTAATATCATTATAAATTAAATTCAAAAAATTTTATTCCGACTAATAATTTACATTAACCCAGATAGCACGGAAGCTTGCCACAAACATACCATGCAAGCTTGCCTAAAATAACAAAATATCCCACTCATAGCAAGCTTTCCATGAAAAATTCCTGCAATCTTGGCATGAAAGATTTCTACAAGATTTCAAGGAAAGATTGTTGCAAACTTAATGCGAATGATTTCGGAAAGCTTGCCGTGAAATATTGCTGTAAGTTTCCTATGAAATGTTGCAGGAGAATTGCAGCCTGCTTGTTAAAAGGATACTGCAACCTTTCAGAAAACTTGCTGCAATTTTTCAAAAAATAAATAAATTTTTTTTTAATGTATTTTTTGAAAAATTGCAGCAAGCTTCCTGAAAGCTCACAGTAACCTTTTATCAAGCTTGCTGCAATTCTCCTGCAACATTTCATAGGAAACTTAGCAGCAATATTTCACGGCAAGCTTTCCGAAAACATTCATATTAAGTTTGCAGCAATCTTTCATGGCAAGCTTACAACAACCTTTCATGGAAAGCTTCCTATGGGTGGGGACGTTTTGCTGCTTTAGGCAAGCTTGCGGCAAACTTGCATGGTAAGTTTGCTGCAAGCTTCCGTTCTATTTAGAAAGAAACTATGTTTCTTTTTTTCAATATTTTATTTTCGTATTTACATTCGTAAATGTACTGTCATAAATATATATTTATAATATATAACAGTCACATAATTATTTTCCCCCTATTTAAGAAAAGATTTCGAATATAATTATATATTTTTCGTACAAAAAGATAAAAAAAAAAATGATAGTTATTTTTTGACGAGCTTGCACTGAATTTAGTCATTAATCATAGTAGTAGTGTTTTTCTCGAGGACGTGAACAATAAAAGATTCCTTTTTTTTGTCTCGGAAAAATTTTTTACTTGCTGAAATGTGTGCATGTACTTCTTTTAAAATATCTATCTTTAAAGTTTAATAGAAAACATGTCATCCTTTTTTAATAAAATAACACTATTATTTGTTTTAAATAATGATATAAATAATAAATAAATAAATACCGCTAAAATTGTTATTTTTCCAAAATGCATTAGGTGAATAAATAAAAATTTCCCTTTAGAATTGACAATAAAAAAAAAAAAAAAAAAAATGGTAACACCTAATGGGACCATTCAGAAACTACCTTATAAGGGAGGGAAAGTTAAACAGATTCAGAGATGATTTGTCATTTTCATATACATGGGGGGAAGAATAATTTGAAATATAAAATCACAAATCGAAAGGTTAATAAGATATGAAAATTTATTAAAAGATGATAAGAAAAAAAATTGAATTTCAGTTTTTTTTACGCTTAATATTTATTATTTTTTCATAATTAAATAAAATTTATTTTTATATATTTTTAAAAAGTTTTGAAAATTCATTTTTATGATAAAGTTTTCTCAGCATCCCTTCATCTTTTATTAATGAAGTAAAAATGGAAAATAATTAATATTAGGGTAAAAAAAGCATGTCATGAAAACTTTTTTGCTATATACACAATGGTTGTTTCTGTATCATTAATGTTACATATTTTTTTTTTCGTACTCAAATTTTATCGACTTTTATCCAGACATGAATATATTAAGGTTTTTTTTTTACAATAACATTTTTTTTAAAATTATTTTCTATTATATTTTCTAATAAACTATATATTTAATAGAGGTGGAAAATAATTTTATGTCAAGATTATTTTTGAATGATATTTTGTCAGTATTGCTTAATCGTGAAATGATTTTCAATTGAAATTGATGTGAACTGAAAATAGAATTAAAGTCTTTTTAAATTAGTATGGACAATGTTTCGATGCTTACCAATGTAAATTATTTTGAATAACGATGCAGGATTTCGTTCCATAAAGATTAAACGTTTTTGTCGATTCAATAAAATGTTTTTATACCGCAAAACACTATTTCAAAATGTACAACATTTTATGGCCCAGTGCATTTGGGGAAATGTTCAATTTTTTATCGATTCATCAAGTGAAACTTTCCAATTTATTACGTTGCACTTTTTTTTTCTATTTAATGGAATGGCAATCTTGTTATTGCACTTGAAATATACATAAATCAATTTTTTCTTAAGAAAATCCACTTTTTGATGAGAGTTCTTTATATGAAATTTTTGTGTGATTTTTTTTTATAAAAATTTTTTTATAATTAAAAATTAAATTAAAAGAAATTTTTGGGAATTTAAGAAAGAAAAGGGGTAAAAGTCAGTTATAAACTTTATCTGAAGTTTCTACATTGAATTTACAAGTTTTTATTTCTTAATTATTTTTACTACAATTTTGTGTACTTTTCTTTCCAAGTATTAGTTTCTTCAAAGTGCTAAGTTTTTCCGAATATGACAAATAAAACATTTTCCTCGGCTGCTCTTAACGAGCTCTTCTTTTCTTTATTTTTTTTTCCCTCACTTTTATATATATATATATACACTCGCACTCATACATAAAATTTTATATATGTGTATTGTTCTGCGGAAATTTCACCACTATATCTTCACTTGCAATTTCCGCACGTTTTCCTTTCTTTTAAACACTTTATATTTAAACTCGTCTTTTATAAACTTTCTGCAACTTTATTTCATATCTTTTTCCATCATTTTTTTTTTTTTTTTTTTTTTTTAAAGAAGTGCCAACTCAAAATAAAAGTTGAATTCTTCGTATATAGAGTTTTTGATAGTAACTCTTTTTTCGTGTGGCTCACGAAACTTTCTGGATTCTTTCCATTCAAATGCAAATTACCCGTCCACTATTCATTGAATTACGGTTCCTCAAACATGTTCATTCTTCTTTCATTTTGTTCACATTAAAAACCAAATTTAACATTTAAATAAAATTGTCAAATAGATTTGAACAAAAAAATTTTAAACACTGGTATTTTTATTTTATTTTTTTTAATTTTAAAAATATGTTTTTTTTTAATGAAGATTTGTAATTGAAAAAAGTGGCATTAAATTTTTTTTTTAATTTTATTATTTAATATTTGTCGAATTTATTATTATTTTTTTAAATAAATAATAGAAGCCGCTCACGTGTCAACTAACGGCGATGAAATGCGGCCGATTTCGTAGCCAAAACCGCGTTTTCCAGCTGTGGCCTCTGTCAGTTAGAACCTGCGCTTTGCTCCGTTATTTGCCCCCTTCCTCCCCCCCTGATAGTATATCTCTCTTTCTCTTTTTCGTTTAAAACACTATGTTTCTTTATCATTTTATCTATTCGCCCCTTTTCTGTAAACTGCATTATACACCTCTCTTTTAATAGGATTGATAAATATACTAAGAATGTATTATCATTTTAAATGTCTGGTTTTTAAAATTAGTTCAATTTATGATAGCAGAAATATTATTCTAAGTTTTTAATAAAGTATAAAATATTTTTTCTTTAAAGACTGATATTTGTGTGTTAATACCTTGGAGAGATTGAACCTTGGAAAATGGATGATACATCGTAACAAGTTTTTTTTTTGAGAGAGGGATAAAAATAAGAAAAGAAAGAAAAGAAAAGGATTTTAGGTTGAAGATGTTTATTGTAAAATCCTTTTTTTTTCTTTCCCCCCAAAAAGAATCGATAAATAACTAAAATAAAGGATAATGGAAGATGTTAAAATCCACACTGTAAAAAGTTAAGATATTAATTTAATATCGACTTTAGGTACTAAATTGTCATTCGATTTTGATACCTAAAATCAGTACTATTTTAGTACTTTCTTTTTCTGATTTTAAGATATCAGTTTAGTGAAACAATAAAATTAATGACTCCAATAATGTTGTATATAAAGTTTATGAAATTTGTATACATATATATATATATATATATTTATAATTTACTTTGTTATATTGCAAAACTATATGAATGGTGTAAACCACAGCGTAGCAACGTAAAGGATGAATTCCACATGGAAACTTCCGCGAGAGAGTCAAAGTTGCAAACTGCACTATTGCATCGACAACTTTCGTGTAATGTTGAATTTTCTAATCGGATTTTCAAGTGAAGGTATCAAGGACGAAGGGAGAAACCACATCAAGAGTTTAGTTTCTGTTTTCTAATCGGTATATTGATACATTTAAAATTTAATTGCAATCGTCTCAAAAGGTTTTATATCTTCTTTAGGAAACAAAATCTTTTTATTTATTATCTTGTCGAACACTGTTAGAACTTTTAGTAATAAAATCAGAAGAGGTATAAAGATCGTTGGGGTTAGAAAAAAAAAAGTTACTGGAACTTTGTCACTCGAAATTAGTAAAAAAAAAAAATCGCTTGGGATAGTGAAAAAATTAGTTTTTATATATAATAAAAATTAGTAGCAGTTTGGAAATAATATTTGTCAATTTTTCACCTCGTTCCTACGTTTTTATTGTAACTTTCTTCAAATTAGTTGAAACTTGTTTACAGGTATTAACGCAAATCTCACTAATTAAACTTGAAACTTAAACTTGTCCCATTCAATCCTTATTGTTGTTTGTATCTTTCAACTTTTCGCCAAAATTTTTTCATTTTTATAAATGAAATGAAAATTTTAAATAGTAAAAAAAAAATAAATTTTATATATATTGCGCAAAAGCAATCTACATTTTCTGATATAAATTATTTCGCTTTCCATCAGAAAAAATAGATTTCAAATATATATATATATATTTCTAAGGGTGGTTGGTTTTTTACGCATTATCTACCACTTGTAAGTTATGCGCCCTCTGCAACTCAATGTCGGGCTTATCCCCGAATACTCCAATTCGCTCCAATTTAAGCCAATTCAGAACCCCCTCTCTATTTATCGCACTCGAACATATCTTTTTCTTTAATACAGTAGTCTTTCATCCCATCAAAACTCGGTAAGATTTCTTCTTTCTTTTGAAACTACCTTCACGTATAAAATAAGAGTAAAATCATTTTAAATGTTCCTTTTCAAAAGCAGATTCTTTTCCTCAAGCCTTATATATCGTTTTTTAAAGTTCGTTTTTAGTTTAACATCAGACAAATCGTCTGGAAAGTTTTCTTTTCTTTTTGGGTATGTTATAAAATCTTGTGTAATATTCTATAGAAATTTCTTTTTACAATTTTTTTTTTTTCCTATTTTAATAAGATGTTTTATTCATGTGGAAAATTCTCTCTCTCTCAAAAAAAAGGGTATCGATATATAAATATATGAAACAGTTCAATTAAAATAAAAAAGGGAAAAAATAACTATTATTGTTTTTTTTTTTTACTGTCAAATGAAACGAAATAGAATCAGATAAAAAAATATATATATATTGAATAACCGAAAGAGATTATTGGCATTTTTGTAATAATTGAAACGTGAATATGAAACTGTTATTAAATAACTCATCAATTTGATAAATTATATACCCCTCTGGAATTAAAATATATTTTATTTAAATACTAGAATAATTTAATAATAATAGAATAATAGAATAATAGAATAATAAAACACTGAATATATAACGTCTGTTTTGGAATGTCACATGCAGTTGATAAATCTGTTATCCTTTATCTTTTCTGTACAATTTAAGCTTCAGTTCTAATCTGAGATGCATGTAACCTAAATTTAACAAAGATTTTAGTGTTTCTATGTATAAATTATTAGGTAAATATAGTCATGTCAAAATTAGATTTTATCATCAAATAGGATAATTACTCTAGCGAAAGTTTCAGACATTAGTTTTATATCAATTAAATTTCCATTTATCTCAATTTAAATTAATTATCAATATTTAAAAACTAAAAATTATTTTAGATATCTGAAATTTTTTGAAAATAATCGTTTAGATTTAAAAAAAAAAAATGTTTATATTACTACGGTTAATTGAAACACATTATTCTTCTAATGTTTATTTGTGAATTTATGTCTGGATTCCTTGGGATAGTTTGCAAATAATAGAGATATATAATTTCAAAGTCAATAAATCATTAATTGTGCATGGTGCAGAGAGACGATGCAATCTTCTTTTTTTTCCAACTTTAATTTTAAAACATATTTTTTTTATTTCCCCATTTAACATTCATTTCGGCTGAAAACGTTTACACGCGATAAATAGAAACCCCGACTGCGATAAAAGTAAACAAAATCATCCGGTAATAGTAATCTTTTTTTTTTTAAAGTCCTTTTAGTTTTTAAAAAATGAATGATATATTGTAAAAAAAAATCCGTTAACGATTTGTAAATAGCTTTAAAGAACTAAAGATTTTACTTTTTATTTTTAAAAATCTAAAAAAAAGTGCATTGGCAGTTTATTTACTATTCGGGCAACTAATCAGACAAACATTAACATACGAAATTAACATGCAGCATTTGTAAACTTGAGATATTTAGCATCCTTTAAATTTTTTTTGCCAATTTAACAGTAAAATTCTTTTCTACAGAATCCTTTAAAGGAAGTAAAAATTAAAAATTATTTTAATATTTAATTAAAAGCAAAATATTTTCATTAAAAAACAATTATAATTTTATTTCATTTGTGCATAATAATGTGGATATGAAAAATTTTAATTTTATGAAAAATTGTCGACTGTCAGCGAACGATAGAATAAAAGAGAGGCCAGGAAAATAAATCTGATGCGCAGTCGCAGACAAATATTTGACTTTGAAATTGTTTGATATCTGCACGTAGTTTTTCGCACACTATAGGGCCAAAGAAACTAATTCTCTAATGTATGTACCCAAAGAACCGAAACTGTTTTTTTTTTTTTTTTTTTTTTTTTAGTTCAATTTTTTTCCCCTTTGAAAATCTGTCTGATTAATAAATTATTATATTTAAAAAAAATTTCAACAATAAATAATACAATTCCCGTAAAAGCTTTCATGAGAAAGAAGCTTATGACTTTTCCAATTTTATACAGAATTATAATTTTTAGAGTTGATAAATATTTCATTGTTTTGAATATTTTTTTATTTGTAAATAAATAATAATTTATAAATAAATTTTATAAAACGGTGATAAAAAAATATTAGATATGTAAATTATCAAATTTTGATATCAAAATTTGATTACGAATAATATTTGATAATTTCTTTATATTAAAGTGATAAATTATTATTATTATATTAAATTCGAAATGTAATTATTATTTACTGGTATTAATTTATAATGAATTAGTTTTGCGTTTTATTTGAATTGGAATTTAATAATTAATTCATGTATAAATAATATTTAATATTAAAGGGAAAGAGTTATAAATTCCCAATATTATATTTTCCGCCTTGAAGCTAAAAAAAAATATATGTATATATATATATTCAATCAATATATCTTAACAGTACATATATAATATGTCTAGAACACATGGCACAGGTTTTTTTTTTCTTCAATTTCGTAGGTCGTTTAGAAAATTTGTCAAACCTAAAACTATTTCTCAAAATCCATTATCAAAAATATTGGTATATTTTGTATACTGAGACATTTTTACAGATATAAAAAAAATAAATAGAAGGGAAGTTACTTTTGTTTTAGAGGGCTTGTTAAAAATATATTTTCACGTCATTTTTCTCTAAGATTAAGTATATTATCGAAACGTTGTGGAAAAAATATTTTTTCTTTTTCAAAAAAAAAAAAATAAATAAATAATTAGAAGTTTAAATACAATTCAAAATTCAAAATAAAAATTATTCAGTTCAAGTAAATATTTATTTGATAATAAGTAACATATTATTTGGATCAAATATTTTTTCAGTGACTATTGTCATTCTAATTAATATTAACCTTGATTTTTGAGGTTAGGTTTGCCCCTTCGATTACTTATTGAGGTTATGTCTGCTACTTGACCTTGAATTTTCAGGTTAAGTTCCCTCATTGTTATCTGATCTAAACTAAATTTTGAAGTTATATTCAAAGGACCAGACCTATGACCTATATATAACCTTAATTTGCCCTTCAGAGAAAGTTTGCGTTGTCGATTTTGATAAAAATTTATAGTTTCGCTTATATTCTTTTAGATTTTATTTTATAAATTTTTTTTTTATCTTAAAAATATTTTATAATTCTTAAAATATTAAGATAGTATAAAATTATTTTTTTTTCGCTATAATTTCGCGTGTATATATATATATATATTTAAACACCAAGCTGAAAATTGATTCAATTGTTTAAAA